GAGAGAGAGAGAGAGAGAATTCTTAGACTGAGGCAGGAACTGATTGGAAAAGACTTACGATTGAATACATATGAAACTGACACAGTATCTCAGCAAAAAAAGAAAAAGGAAAAAAATCAGCTGCTTTTTAATGACACCAAGTCATGCAACCTCTCTCAATTACTGCTTCTTTCATTTAATTTAAAAGCTGCACATTTTGTTATTTCCTCTGAAAGCTTCTTCACATTATGTAAAGTCAACTGTGGGCTTATTTTCAGTTCATTTGGCTTGAAGCCAACGGAAAAGAAAGAGATTAAATCAGTGACAACCATTGATGAGACGATACTTGGAATTCTTATGAATACAAATAGCCTATGAAGGTTAATGAGGTTCAACATCAGTTTAAAGAGAACAGAATGAATGCATTTTGTATGTACAATGTGTCTTCCAACTTAAGGTCTAGGTAACTTTTGAAAGGTACACCAGTGAAGCTAAATTAACTTTTTAAATTGTCAATTTTAATATATTTGTTTCCCAGTCAAGTGTAACACTGCTGACATACATAGTTCTCTAAAGGTTCACAAGAAGTAAATCTCTTAAAGTATCCATATTTATTTTTGTAAAAAAGAATAAATTATGATAAACTGCCAGGTCCCTTTCTGCAAAATCTCTGTACTAGCTAATCATTCCCTTAAACTTGTATCCTATATCGAAATCTGCACATGCAATGAACTATGCTAGATCCAGTTGCTGCATGCATCCCTGTGATGGCGATTTTTTTAAAAAAAAAACTTAACCTTTCTCTTGGCAGCTGAGTACAACATGCAATGGTATCTAGCGCCATGTATGTATCACAACATTCCTGTGAGCAGGAGATGGAGAGCCATGGTCCAGCTGAAACTATCATCTGAAGGAATCCAGGTATGAGCCTCCATCATGGGTTATTTTCCCTGATTGAAAGATCATCAGTAAGTCAGGGTCCCCTAGTTTAGGCCTAATGGGGGATTACAGCTAAATAAGAGGTCTTCACTCCAAAGCCAAAGTTGAATGGGAGAGGAAACATACCTGGCTATAAACTTATTCTTCTCTTCATATACAAATGAATGACAGCTTCAGCTTCGGGAATAAATGGCCCAAGTAACCTCAGTTACTCAGCAATTCCCATGGTTGAGGAGATGTTTGAACCTAAGGTCTATATCCCATGTCACTATGAACTAACACAAGATTTGTTGCATTAGCAGTTAGGCATTGTCAAATTAGTTCAAGGGTAGTATCCAAAGCAGTTTTCTGCCAGTGGCTTTATAGACAGTTGCAAAACCATGTCCGTGAGTTGTGTGAGCAGTTGCACAATTGGTTGTTCGACCTCTTTTGCACAAGGGCTTGCCTAAGCACTTGCACAATTCTGCAATCCAGCATAACTGTGCAAGCAGGGATTTTGTTGGATTTCAATCCAGATTTTCCTGGCTGTATTTGACCTCTCTATCTACCAAGCCACTTTTGCTATAGTTGTGTAGCAATTGTTCCAGGACATGACAGACTTAATCCTTTGGCTTACATCCTCTTTAGAGCTGGCAGAAAGAAGTTTCACCTATGGAGCTACACTGGGTTGCGCCCTTGCTCATGCCTGCGCATGCTCCAGCAGCAGCTCACCTTTTTTGCCACCTAACCATCTGACACCCTTCCTGAAGTTCCAGATGCTCCAAGTGGCCAGTTTGCTACTAAACAAAACCTTAAGAAACATGTGGCCACTCAGAGCAGCTGCTACTACAGGAGAGACTGAGAAAGTCCCATCAATGATAACACAATGAACATCTGCTAGGAAAGTCAAGGAGAAGAAAAAAGGGAGGCTGGGGAAGGTGGGAAGAGCTTGTGCAAGAAAGTACTGGATGCCTGTCACTACCTGAGTCAGACTGCCAATCCCAAACAAGTCAGCAGCACCAAAGGCTTACTTGATGAGAGAGGATCTTGCCAAAGTCTGTAACACTTAAACAGTGTTGACAATCTAGACAAGAAATTGTGATAAATTACCTGTGTGATGGGGAGGTGGCGTGCTGAACTTTGGAAAACTTCCTGAAATAGTATTAGACATATGTCTTCTCTAACTTTCAGATGTAAAGCCCATGAGGAATGAAGCTCAGGACTACCTAACCAAGTGAAGGTGGGGAGAAGAAAAAGAGATGCTTCCAGAAACCTCGAACAATTCTTAATCACTGCAGAAATATGTTATGTCTTATATTTAAGAAAGTACTTCTGCCTGGCCTGTTAAATACATGTATTTCGTCCATTGATTATAAAACAGAACATCACAGTGCCAGAAGATACCCTTTGTTCCAAGTTGGAATCACATTGCTAAGCCAGTCACATGTTTTCATTGGCTTAAATACATTCTCAGTGCTTTATGAACTATGCATTTTTCCACAATGCAATATTTTCCCAGCTGACCTTTGGAAAAGCATAGCTTCAGTACAGACTCAACTATTCCATGATTACAGAGGTGTTTTCACAAGGGAAATAGAAATATGAAGCCATATTATCAACAATTTTGTCATTTAGAGACGTTAGCAAGAAGCTAAATTTTTCCAGTGCTTATGGCCAATTTAAAATAATAAATATTTGTATTTCTAAAACACTGATTATGAATACTAGTATGCAGGATTACACAAAGACCCTATCAGGTTCAAAATCATTAGACTGATCTTGAAAATTATTTCCATTCCCTTATTCTTGGCAAAGAATTCTGAAAGGATTCTGAAAATCCACAAAAATCATTACAGTTTTTTAAACTAATAATAACAAGCCAGAAGTTCACAAAGAAAAATTTTTGGCTTCCTACAATGGTGGGGCAGAACTTGGGACAGGAAGCAAAACTAAGGGCCAGTTCTGGATGGGAGAAATAATCTGCATTTAAAATCCAAATACCATATTTTTCCATTTATAAGACGACCCAATGTATAAGATGACACACACACCCTTTTCTAACCCCAAATTAGAAAATTTGATCCTTGCTTTTCTCTTCCTTTTGCTAAGCCACGGAGCTTCGTAAAAGGAAGGGAAAAGCAGGAATCAAAGGGCTCCCTTTGACCGCTGCTTTTTCTTGCCTCTTGTAAAGCCATGGAGCTTAGCAAAAAGGAAGGAAGGCTCCCTTTGGGTAAGGGCTGCACAATTGCAGCCCTTTGTCCTGAAGCCCTTTCATAGGGCTTAGTAAGTGGATAAAGCAGCCATGAAAGGGCTCCAGGATCAAAGGGCTGTGACTGTGAAGCCATTTCTCGGCTACTTTACCCGAAGGGAGTCTTCCCTTCCTTTTTGCTAAGCTCTGTGTACCAGATCAACCAAGAGTACAAGAGATCATCCCTCCCATCCTCTCCTCTATCATCTGCCTTCAGTGCTGTGCCGAACCCTATTCCAAAATGTTTCCCTGGGGCAAATATCTGGACGCCGGAGAAGAGAGATTCAGAAGAAGAGGATCCCTCCCTTTCACCACCTTTCCAAGTTACACAGTTGGAAGTGGTTTCATAATAAATATAATTTCAATAAAATAACCCCACCAGATCATAGCCAATGCCTCAGATGGTTAATATTTGGGATGGGATGGGGTTGCTAGATGTATACAGCCTGAGCCATCCCTCTCAATATATATCCATCCACTATTGACAGGGATACAGTCTGCACTGCAATAGCAAAAGCACTTATTCCAGCCATAGTAATCAACAGAATTATTGCTAATAGCAGCTTCATGCCACAGAATTCATGCTGATCATTCTCTGACTTGTCATGTCCTTCCTGGTTAGATCAGGATGTTAACATATACATAAGAAGAATACTGTCAGTATACTTCTAGCCTCCCATGTCACAAGAAACTGTGTGATCGTATTCATGTTCCACCCAGTCTGTCTTAGAGGTCCCCCAGTAAACTGTATGCAATTAACACACCGTGGCAGCTTATCTGGGTGAACAAGGTTTAGTTCTCAGAATTCCCAGTTTGGAATTCAATATTCCTGGATAACAACTGTTGGATAATCAGAAGAAATATATCTCTCATTCCAGGGATGCATCTTACTTTTTCCCTAATCACCATAAGGTGAAGTTGTTCCTTCTGCCCTCAAGGAAACACTCATTAGGCCCATAAGAAAGAAACCTAGTTTGGCGGCGGACGAAATTGGCAATTATAGGCCCGTTGCCAATGTTTCTTTCATGAGCAAAGTGGTCGAGAGGGTGGTGGCTGATCAGCTCCAAGCTCACCTGGACGAAACGGATGCCCTGGATCCATTTCAGTCGGGCTTTAGGCCGCGCCATGGTACAGAGACGGCCTTGGTCGCCCTGTACGATGACCTGTTGAGGGAGGCCGACAGGGGCAAAGTGTCTCTGCTGGTCCTCCTCGACATCTCAGCGGCCTTTGATACCGTCGACCACGGTATCCTCCTGGGGAGGCTCTCCGAGCTGGGAATCGGTGGCCTGGCACTGGCCTGGCTCCGCTCCTTCTTGGGGGACCGCCCCCAGAGAGTGCAGCTTGGGGAGAATGTGTCGGCCCCATGGAGCCTCAATTGCGGGGTCCCACAGGGGTCGATCATCTCCCCAATGCTGTTTAACATCTATATGAGACCGCTGGGTGGGGTCATCAGGGGGTGTGGGGCTTCGTGTCATCAATACGCCGATGACACCCAGCTCTACATCTCCTTTTCACCAACTGCAGGTGATGCTGTCCTGTCCCTTCAGCGCTGCCTGGAGGCTGTACTGAAATGGATGCAGGAGAACGGGCTGAGGCTGAACCCGGATAAGACGGAAGTTCTGAGGGTGGGTGCCCCCGTGGTAGGTGGCTTGGGTGACTCTCTCACGTTTGGGGGGGTCACCTTGACCGCGAAGAGTGAGGTTCGTAGCTTGGGCATACACTTGGACCCGACGCTCACCATGGAATCCCAGGTGGCGTCGGTAGTCCACACTGCCTTCTTCCATCTCTGGCAGACTGCCCGGCTGCGACCCTACCTTGACTCGGGGGCGCTCACTACCTTGGTACATGCGCTCGTAATCTCAAGATTAGACCACTGTAACGCGCTCTACGTGGGGCTGCCTTTGAGACTGATGCGGAAACTTCAGGTGGTGCAGAATGCTGCAGCCAGACTCCTTACTGGAGTGAGAAAACACCATCATATTTCTCCTACGCTGGCCGCATTGCATTGGCTGCCCATCTGTTTCCGCGTCAACTTCAAAGTTCTAATGCTTACTTATAAGGCCCTAAACGGTTTAGGACCTCGATACTTGGCGGAACGCCTACTTCCACCAAGGTCTATCCGGATCACCCGCACGAGTCAGGAGGTGAGGCTGAGGAGCCTGACGCCGAGAGAGGCCCGGAAGGAGAAGACACGAAACCGGGCCTTCTCGGCGGTGGCTCCTCGCCTTTGGAACAATCTCCCTCCAGGAATTCGCATGGCCCCTACACTGGGCATCTTCAAAACCCAATTAAAAACATGGTTATTTATTCAGGCCTTTCCTCCAGCCAATTCTTGATTTTCTTCTTCTTATTTTCCTATTTTTTAATTTATTCTAGCTGTTTTGTATTAGCCATGTATCTGTTGTATTTTATTGTTTAATTTTATATTGGAAGCCGCCTAGAGTGGTCCATTGGTCCAGATAGGCGGGGGATAAATCAAATAAATCAAATAAATAAATAAATAAATTATGAGACAGACCTTAAAGCTTGTGGATTTAAAACTTGCAAAAAACAAGCATTTTCACACATCTTCTATCAATATTTTTCTAGAACAGATTACTAGAAATGGTTAAGCAGCCAAGCAGCAGCTAAATTGTGATCCGCCACAAAATTAAATTCTGATAAAGTCTCATTGCTCTCTTTGCGTATATCAGTTTATTTGGTACTCTTATTATATTCGGAGACAACTATGGTAAAACAGGAAATGCAATCAGTAATTTCAATGCTTCAGCACCTAATTTTTGTTGCAAGTTGTAAAATCTTTAAATCTTTGCGGGAGGGGAGTATTAATATTTTATAATAATTTAATTTTATTCCTTTGATTCCCATCAAAGCAAGAAGGCTATGAATATTAGCTTTAAAAAAAACCAAAGATCAATCTCTCAACCAGTTTTACAGTAATGAGCATTTTATACTTGGAGTAGATTCTAGTTATTCTGCCATCTGTTCCACAGAAGTTCTTACTAGAGTTATAGTTGACAACATTATTGCTGAACTCTGATTTGTTCTTAACATTGCTTTGAGCAAGTTGGCAGCTTCCAATACAAACCTGATCACAAAGTTATAAAGGAAATTAAATGTTACTTTCAAATGCACTGCTATGCCAAATTAAATACTGCTGCTCTAATGATTGCTCACTTATACTTTTCAAACTTGATTAACTGGAGTTCTGATCTTCAAAGGGTAATAGCTGTGCCAAGGGTATCTTTAAAATCCAAATGTTAAAAAAAAACCTTGCACTTTACAAAATGTTCATAACCTCAATATTTCAGATGTATAACCTTTCACATAGAAAACATCACATAGCAATCAGTGCAGGATGCCTCAGGTTGACTTATAAACAGTTTTGTACAACTCATCTGAAAGAAGTTATCAGAATCACAACCTTCAGAACAACTAGTAAATGCAGCAAATATGTTTTTTGGATGTCTGAACTTTGGGATTTGAAACAGTGCCATCTCTGAGCCTGGATGTTCAGGTTTCGGCGGTGGCCAGGAGTGCATTTGAACAATTAAAATGAGAGAGGCAGCTGTGCCTGTTCCTCAAGAAGTCTGATCTGACTACAGTGATACATGCCTTGATTACATCATGGCTAGATTACTGCAATGCGCTCTATGTGGAGCTGCCTTTGCAAAATGTTCAGAACTTTCAGTGGGTCCAAAACACTACAGCCAAATGGTTAAATGGGGCTGGTTACAGGGCTCACATACAACCCAACCGCCCCCAATTACAGCAGTTCCACTAACTGCCTATCTATTTCTGGGAACAATTCAAAGTACTGAATTACCGTATTTTTCGCACCATAAGACACACTTTTCCCCACAAAACAGGGGGGTGGAAAATCTGTGCGTTTTATGGAGCAAAGAAAACAGATTATATTTTCCTCTTTTCTTCTCCTAAAAAATTGGTGCGTCTTATGGAAAGGTGCGTCTTATGGAGTGAAACATACAGTAACCTACAAAGCCCTGAAAGACCTGGGTCCAAACTATTTCAAGGACTGTGTCTCCCTTTATTAGCATGCCCGGGTGTTAAGGTCAAGGGAGGCTTTTCTCTTGGTTTCATCACCCTTCACTGGTGCATTTGGTGGGGACAAAGAGGCCCTCCTTTGCCACTGCATCCAGACTTTGGAACTCGCTATCATAAGAGGCCAAGCTGAGCCTATCTTTCAGAAGCAGACAAAGACCTTTCTCTTCAGACAGGCTTTCCCTTAGTGATTGGCTAACTAAATTGGCAGTTTTTCAATTGGATGTTGTGCCGTTGTTTTGAATCTGTTTTTGGTGTTGATTTTGTTTACCATTTTAATAAGATATTTGTCTGATTCTTTTTTACTATTTATATATTTACCGTTTTTAGCTTTTAAATACTGTGTTTCAATGATGTAAGCTGCCTTGGGTCCTTTTTAAGGAGAAAGGCTGAGTAAAAATATTATAATAAATAAATAAAGTAGGTACAACAAAACATTTACTCTTTTCAGTACTGCTGGCAGAAGTTATGTATGCATGGACTCATGATAACTCAAAAGACAGTTACATTATAATGGCTTAAATCCTGTTGCTTAGTGTAGTACGTTGCAAACAGAGCAGACCCATTGAATCAATGGAACTTAACAGAGGAGTTGATCCAATGGACCTCCTCCAGTTTCGACTTACTATACGAACCAATAGAATTTCAACCATTAGTTCCCAGAGGCAGCTTCTCCTCCATTTTATCTTGTGGTTGGATGCAAGTACGATTGACAATTAAGATTCAAAACCAGCTGTCCTCCAATATGGAGTTGGACTGTGCAACTGTGACACTGTGCACCCAAAAGGTTCCAAAAACAAAATCATTGAGGCTGAAATCCTGTTTGTGGAAGTTCCATGGCATAATACTTATATGATGGTGTCACCAACTGGGGTAATTTTGTTTTGGAAATTAAATATTTTCCCCTCCTGTCCCAAAGTCTCCACATTGTCAGGAATCTGCTGGGGCTATTGAATGAGAGGGGGGAAGACTTCAATTACCAAAAACTGTTGCATTCAGTGAAGTCACTCTGGCAGCAATTAAAGACCTCCTCCTCCTGTCCCACAGCCTCCCACAATGTAAGGGATTATTCACAATTCATGGGTACTACAGGATAGAAAGAAATTTTAATTTCCAAAAAACTTGTCTCAGCTGATGACACCATGGAACTTACATGAATGAGATTTCAGCCTGAGAATCTACCAACTGTGTAGAAGAAGGATGTCCATGTGATTAATGGATAGCTAAATCTGGGCTGTCTCTATAGATAGCCAGAAAGAAGCTAAATCTGCTAGGTACTGCTACATGTCTATTCTTTGCACAGAAAAGCATTCTTATTTGGCTTTATTGCTAACCACAAGCTTAGCTACAAATCAGAAACAACTGCAGTATGTATAAGTGGCCCAGGCTTGTGTTAATACAAAACTCTATCACAGGCCAACATATTGACATAAGGATGGTAGATGGAAAAAGATATTTTCCCTGTATGCGACAAAAGTTGTCTTTATATTTGTGTAAGATTGGTTATAAGACGCCCGGTGATGCAGCCAACCACCAGCAAAAGAAGGATTTTGGGTCTGACTGTCATGGATTTGTGCACTGGCAGGGGCTTGGGGCTAGGTACCCTTGAGGTCCCATCTAAGTTTATAATTCTACAGTTTTGTAAGCTGCAAAGCCATAGCTAGAGTATACCAAATCAGATTATTTGTTAGGATACGCAGAATTGATTATTAATATATATTTTTTAAAAAATGACCAGCCAATGCCCATTAAATTTTTTGCAAAAACAAATTCGAAATGAATCATTTGGTTGTAAAACAACCTCTTCAGCCTCTGAAATTTCATGTGGAAACATTTCACTTTGGATTTGTTTTATCTTATTGAATTGTATGCATATCTCCTGCCTGAAGATTGGAGTTATGCCCACTGAATCACCAATGTACTGATTTATTTCTAGACTGCTTGCACCCACTCACAATCACCCGCACCTAAAAAACCAAGTATTCATGAGAAGGGTTCTGTGGCTAGCTTTCTTCCTGACATGCTTGCTTTCTTGTACAGGAATCATTTTTCTTCCTTCCCTGCCTATGCACGGAGCATTCCTTCATGCAAGCTCTCATCTAATGTAGGACTGCCACTTAATTTGATGTTCGGAAAGCCCGACATTTCTGCCACATAAGGCCAGTTGAAAACTAAAAGGACTCAAAAATTATCATTTTAAAAGGCATTTTACCTCTATTTGCATTCCAAGCTGTGCTTTCTCTTTGTCCTTGCGCTCTATGCATCGTTTTAATTCCTCTATCTCTGACATTACAGCACTGTGACTTAGCTTTTCTCTCAATTCCCAGATCTGTTTCTCCAGCTCCTTCTTCTCTTGGTCAGACCACTGAGTCACTGGAATACATAGCACAATTTGAAATAGGAAATATTACACCCCAAACAGCAGGTACACATAAACAGAGTTTTCCAGAGAGCAACAGATAAACCTAATTGATAGAAAGTTAAAGGAATCTGTGCAAGTGTCCAATTAACGTGGCCTATATATACATAGAGCATATTATATACTAATAGTAGTGTGTGTGTGTGTGTGTGTGTGTGTGTGTGTGTCTGAAAAAGTACAAACACACAGAGCTCTACATGCATATAAATATGAAATGAAATGCTCTTAGTTTTATGCTGTTCATGGGGATGTCACATTGTAGAACAGTGGTGGGAGGATGTGTGGCCTACAGATGCTGTTGGACTGCAATTCCCATCAGTCCTAGCCAAAAGAGCCAGTGGTAAGAGATCAAGGGAGCTGCCATCCAGCAACATCTGCAGGCCATGTGTTTCCCAGTCTTGCTGCAGAATAAAGAAAAAGAATGCAAAGAACTGGCTTGAGGAACTCCAGATGGAAGAGCTGCCTTCACGTATAAGCCATGTCTACCTACTGTAGTGTGGAGTGGTTTTACTCTCCACATTCATGAAATGGCTTGGTGAAAGGAAGCTCATTAACAATGACAGAAAGAACTAGAGATATGAGATAATACATTAACACACAATGGGTGGCAGGCGTAGGAAGAGAAATAATACAGTTGTCTATGTTTCCTGGGATGGAAGTGAAAGAAAAAAAATGCATTGACTCAAATGTGTTTGCAAATATACCACCAACCAAAGGGTAGCAGAAGGGAGCATATTCTAGAGAATGGCCTCCCTTATTTTATCACAGACAAGGTGCTGAATTTCAGAACAACTGGGATTCTAGCTTTAAAATTGTTTAATATTATTTAAGATTGTTGAAGGAACCTGTGAGGAAGGCACCTAGACATTTCAGTTCTCCTCTCTTAGGACACTGCTTTCTTCAGGCATCAGAATGAACAGTGATGTTTAATTCAGTATTAACCAGGCCAAAATATATGTGAAGATAATATTCTGTTTCATGCTTTACCCCCAGCTCAAAAACAACATTGCACAATTTTGCTTCACTGACCCACAGGAGATAATATTCCAAAACATGCCCTCTCCATTATATTGACTGCCAGAAAGGTCACTTTCACTTCGTATCAAAGAAAAAGATGTTTTTTAGACTGTAAATAATATTTATCTATCCTTTTTATTTATTCCGTATTCAAACAATTATATGTGTTTTATTACAAATTTATTGAATACATAATAACACAACTTTATAAAATTCTTAATTATTCCAGCAAAAGCCAAGCCAAATTTGTTATAGTGTCCAGAAGATAAATTACTTCAATGTTTCCCTTGCTAGAGGGCGATAAGGGACTATTAGTGGCAACATTAAAGCATCAGCAGGAAAATTGTGCTACCAGACCAAACTACAAGAACCTCTGTCTGTGCAGTTACACAAGGTCCGGGATGGAAATCATTATTTTTAATGCCACCAAGACACATACTGTATGGAGAGCAAGCTGTACTGAGTGGTTCAATGCTTTACAGAACAAAGGCTAAAATCATCAAAGCATAGCTGGTTTTCTGTCTACATTTGCTTACATAACAGATGGCACTGAGCTGTCAAATAAATTGAGAGATTTCAGTGAATTGCTTCAAGAGCAGTTAATTCCAGTGAACATCTGAATATCTATTTACAAATTTTCTTCTGTGTCTACACATGTTATGATAGTAGAGGTCTACCACGTTAACAAGGGCAGGCCTCATCAATCAGGGCTAAGACCCAAATCCAAAGTGGCTATCCACTGATGGAAGGCTTCCACTCGAAAACTTTGGAAGGGGCCCATCATCTACCTGAAAAACCCATTCTGCAGGGGTAGGAAACCCACTAGAGCCAGTTTTCAAACGACATAGAGGGTTCACAGGGAGGAGATGACAATTCTATCACACTGTCACTGCAGTATTAGCTCAACACTGGTTTTTGGCTCAGTCTGAGTTTGCAAATCATAATCCTTCAGCAGGAAATAAGACATCAGAACCTAGATTATAGGTTCTTAACATGGACCCTTGGAGGAAGGTACTGAACGACATATTTTAGGAGGCCTGTAAACATGGCATAAAATAATGTTTTCTTCAGTTTTCTTCCTGTTACTTTGAAAACAATTTGGGACAAAGGACGTAGAAGGTTGGCAATCTCCCTGCCAATATCAATTAACAGAGTTTTTAGTTAAACTAAGAATTTGATAATTAAATTTTAGAAAAACACTTAGAATGTCATGTCTTTTTGTTGGAATTAAAACATGACTTTCATAAATGAAATGTAAACTTTTTGCTGAGCCTCCAAATGTCCACAAACCACTTCAAAGATAAAAATGCAAAGAGAAACAAATCACTATATGCCAATCAAAACATCATTGAGCTCATGTCAGTGTATTTTAAGTGGAACCAGAAGGGGAAAAAAGGTCACACAGCACATTTCCTGTCTGATATACTGTGTCTTCTTTAATGACTCAGATTTATTTCATACAACAATATGATCGTGTCAAGATCATGTTTTCACCAAAACCTCTTTGTGAACACTCATAGATTTGAGTCATTAGAAGAAACCAGTGAACTGAAGCTGTGAATGACAGGTGTTTCATGCATGTAAGTTCTAAAAACTATTTTTGCAAAATATATGTACATGTTGTTCTCTCTCTCTCTCTCTCTCTCTCTCACACACACACACACACACACACACACACTCCACCCTCTCTGTGATAGTTTTCGGCAAAATACGGCCATCATAGTTACTCTGTTCTAATCATGGCACTATACAGTATAATAACAAGGTGATGGACTGTGAGAAACCTACCTATTTGATTTCTCCTGTCATCTCCCTGTTCATCTAGACGACGCTGGTGTATGGCAACCTGAGTAATTTGATGCTGTAAATTCAGACGCTCCTCTTCTGCTCTAAGGAGTTGGGAACGGAGATCCTCAATCTAACACACACACACACATATACATAGACAAGTGCTGGCTTTTTAAACAAACTAGAAAGAATTTCAGTTAAATATGGGGAACATTTCCAAGGATATTTTCAGTATTAAAAAAAATTTAAGGCACAGGCAAAACATGGCCATAATAAATTATCTGTTGACTGTGCCCAACAACAAACCAAATGTATGCAACACTTGCTTTGTTCATAATGGGATATCAGAGATATAAGAAATTGTTTTTTAGATGTTAGAATAATTACTTTTATGGGGCGACAGCTCTCAGAAGCCATGCTGGCTGACAGATCCTAGAAGCTGTAGTCCCAAAAGTACCTCTTCCAAGGATAACCTCACCCTCTGCTCATGGCACACTTGTTAGGTTAGAAAGTCCAATGCCTGAACATATTCCTAAGAGCCCTATAGAATTTAATAGGAACATTCAGAAGCCTCTCTTCATCACAGCTGGCATTTATCCCAGAAACGGTTAATTTTAATAAAAGCCAGATAAATTTTTACACCTAGTTTGATTTTCTTCCTTCTTCTGGGTTATTTCCCTATCCAAGACAGATAAACTGACTGTCCAGAACAATCTCTAGATTTTCTTGTTTTACTGAACAAGCACAGGTAGATATGTGTGTTACATTGTTCTCAAACTTCATATTTACAAACTATATAAAAATAAAATAACAGGAAGTTAGCTAAACTATTTCATGTTTTAACAAATGTAATGCAGACACATTAACTAAATCAAATAACTGTCAACTAAGTAAGTTGCATTAATAATATTACCTCAATAATCTAAAGCAGTGGTTCCCAACCAAGGGTCCACAAATGTTCTTGGACTAAAATTCCCAGAAACCTTCACCACTAGCTGTGTTGGCAATTTCTAGGAGTTGATAGTCTAAGAACATCTGGAGACCCAAAGTTTGGAGCCATTGATCTAAAGCAAATAAAGATCACATCAGCATAGGTTTATAATATTGAAGAAGGAAAAAGGTCTTCTCCCCACCCCCTAGCAGAGTGCTCCTTGCCCCTTGGACTGTTACTCTTTTATTAGTCCTTACCATCTTGTCAACTGTGAACAATCTTTTAATTGCATGAATAAGTTACTGAGCTTTGTACATGGTTCAAATATTTTCTACAGAAATTTATCTTTGTTTTAATAGGGTAGCAATCCATGAACTTTATAAACTGTGAGGCTGGCAAGTAGCCACTAGGCCAGACAGAAGGCTTTGTTTTGACTAATTTAGCCTTGCACCTTCATGGTAAGTGAGATATGATCTCCATAAGCTAGTGAAGGAAGTATACCCACACGATAGTGCATCTATGTTTTTGTGCAGAAGGGCAAATCATTCTACAAGGCAATTCTAAAAATGAGTCCAAACCAAAAAATATAACTTTGAAACTGGACCTTGGATCAGCACCAAATTTGGCTCAGTTGGAGCAGACGGTTTGCTCTTGATATGTGCCAAGTTTGGGGAAGTTTGGTCAAAGAGTTTTTTGTTCTGATTTTTTTAAAAAATTGAAAAGCTTTTCTAAAAGCTTCCCCCCCATGGAGAAATAGGCAACCTTAAACATCCCCAGATTTAAAATAGCTCATATAAACTGAAAAGACTAATTTTGCTTACATTGAAAGAGAATGGTTAGCTCTTATAAGGAAATTCATTTTTACAATACATCGTTTGGTTATGCAAAGCAAACACAACAGTCCCACAACAGGGTGGATTTTATCAAGTTGCTTCACCTCTTTACTTTTAAGATAGAACCCTTCTCTGTTCTTTTAAAACATACTAGAATACCCAAGTGAGAAAGCCAAAAAAAAGTTAATGTTATCACAATGTAAGTTATTTTAACTCAAAGAAATTAAGAAGGCTTATATCACAAATATAACTCCTACATAGGTGACATATGAGAATTTATTGTCAACTAAAATGAGAAAATGTATCAAACAGGCCAATCAATAGAAGTGGCAGATGAGCAAACATGTACCATTGGAACTGGGAGAAAGGGAGAAACTTCTACAACGGGTAGTTTGTGAAGACCTCTTATGTGGCATAAGTCAGCCCCCACAATTCAAATACCACTAGTTTCAAGAACATCCGTGACAGAGTCAGATGCAAGTACAGACCGGCCTCTCAAAAACACTGGACACTTTTGTTCAATGGCCAAAGTAGTGTAAGAAAAGAGAAAAATAATACCAGAACTTTTATCTTGACTGCTTTATTCTATCTTCCATCTTTTATTCCTCACTAGTGAGAAAGCACTCCTTCCTCAATAGTGAGGTGCAGCAGACAGAACATTAAAATGGCTCAGTTTCCCCATGCAGCCATGAAATTAACTGGATGACCTTAAGCCAAACATTTTTCTCATCCTAAACTACCTTCCAGGTAATGTAGGATAAAAATGGGAAACAATAAATTGATTTTTTTAAGGCCTTTAAATAAAATGTTGATACCACAGTGCCATGTCCGAACATAAATCAAGACAACTACACTCCATTAACATTTCTCATGTTTTCTTTACTATGACGGAATTGTATTAAAAGTTATCCTATAATCAAATTTGGCATGAACTAAGCTGAACGTTTTATCATACCACCTTCCAACTGTCTACTGAGCTTCTCGATGGCATATTTTAAGAAACCTGAGCACTGCCTACTGTGAAAGAAGATAGACTTTCACACAGCAAAACAGTTACCTGGTGGAGAAGAGCGTCTCGACTGTTTTCTGACTGATTCAGTTTCCTCCGGGAGTGCTCCAAATCCTGTTCAAGCTTAATTTGGATTAAAAACAGGAACAAATTCATTTGTTGCTAGTAATGTTTTGAATTACCTAGATACAATGCTTAGTAAACCTAGAGGTACTCTGAAAGCTAATTTCATATGCAATATGATGTTAAGCTCAAAAAATCCCTATTATCCCAGCAGTGCCTTAGATGGAATAATCTGTTTACACGTTGTGGTATTTATTTATTTATTTATTTTTCAGGGGTGAAAAACTTATACGACATAACTGAGCTGCTGGTATATTTACTTTTACACTGCAAAGTGACATAATAGTATGGTTTTAAGAAGTTTTATCTTCTTAACAGCTAGAAATCTCTCATTTGAGGAAAAACTAAAAAACCACCACCGTAAACTGATAATTCAAGACAAGGAAAAAACAAACCTCTCCACAAAAGCTTCAAGGCAAAATGAAAGAGGGCACTGTATGTCTTGTAAGTAACTCAGTTCAAATTCCTGCAATATCTATTATTCTGAAAATATACTTCAGTTATAAAAAGAAAGAGCACACTATTCCTGGATATACACAAATTTAGTTTTCAATAGGCGCACAACTGAAAATGCTGTGTTTGAACTGTAGAGCTAAATCTCTGATCTTACTACTAATGTTAAAAACAACAAATGGCTGTATGCCCAACGTACAGTATATTACAGAAGTGAGTACACCCCCTCACATTTCATAAACATTTTAGTATATCTTTTCATGGGACAACATGAAAAGATATACTAAGTGTGTGTGAAAGTGAGTATACAGCTTGTATAACAGTGTAAATGTGCTGTACCCTCAAAATAACGCAACACACAGCCATTCATGTCTAAACCACTGGCAACAACAGTGAGCCCACCCCTAAGTGGCAATGCCCAAATTGGGCACAAAGTGTCAATATTTTGTGTGGCCATCATTATTTTCCAGCACTGTCTTAATTCTTTTGGGCATAGAGTTCACCAGAGCTTCACAGGTTGCCACTGGAGTCCTCTTCCACTCCTCTGTGACTATATCACAGAGCTGGTGGATGTTAGAGACCTTGCGCACCTCCACCTTTCGTTTCAGGATGCCCCAAAGATTCTCAATAAGGTTTAGTTCTGGAGACATACTTGGCCAGTCCATCACCTTTACCCTCAGCTTCTTTAGCAAGGCAGTGGTCGTTTTGGAGGTGTGTTTGGGGTCGTTATCATGTTGGAATACTGACCTGTGGCCCAGTCTCCAAAGGGAGGGGATCATACTGTGCTTCGGTATGTCACAGTACATGTTGCCTTTCATGGTTCCCTCAATGAACTGTAGTTCCCCAATGCCAGCAGCACTCATGCAACCCCAGACCATGGCACTCCCACTACCATGCTTGACTGTAGGCATGACACACTTGTCTTTGTACTCCTCACCTGGTTGTCACCACATACGCTTGACACCATCTGAACCAAATAAGTTTTTCTTGGTCTCATTGGGCCACATGACATGGTTCCAGAAATCCAATGTCCTTAGTCTGCTTGTCTGCAACAAACCATATGCAGGCTTTCTTGTGCAGCATCTTTAGAAGAGGTTTCTTCATGGGACGACAGCCCTGGAGACCAATTTGATGCAGTGTGTGGCGTATGGTCTGAACACTGACAGGCTGGCCCTCACTCCTTCAACCTCTGCAGCAATGCTGGCAACACTCATTGCTGGCCACACTCTATTTCCCAAAGCCAACTTCTGGAGATGACGCTGAGCATGGGCACTCAACTTCTTTGGTCGACCATGGCGAGGCTGTTCTGAGTGTAACCTGTCCAGTCAAACCACTGTTTGCTCTAGGCCACCGTGCTGCAGCTCAGTTTCAGGGTTTTGGCAGTGTTCTTATAGCCTAGGCCATCTTTATGTAGAGCAACAATTCATTTTTTCAGATCCTCAGATAGTTCATTACCATGAGATGCCATGTGGAGCTTCCAGTAACTGGTCTGAAAGAGTGAGAGCAATAACATCTGCTCCCCCTTCACACCCGAGACTTGTGACACTAACGGGTCTCATGACACCAGGGAGGGAAAATGGCTACTTGGGCCCAATTTGGACTTTGTTACTTAGGAGTGTACTCACTTTTGTTGCCAGTGGTTTAGACATTAATGGCAGTATGTTGTGTTATTTTGAGTGGACAGCACATTTACACTGTTATACAAGCTGTATACTCACTGCTTTACATTGTATCAAGTGTCATTTCTTCAGTGTTGTCACATGAAGATATACTTCCTTTTTGAAAAGTTAAATACTTACTTTACTTTTTTCACCTTCCATTTTGAGGATTTTACTTTTCAGAATCATTTCTGCTTCGTTAGTTTTGGCATCTTGTTGTTTTAGAGCCTTGAAGAAAAGAAAGACATTTGGAACTCTTTCTGTTTTTGTTCTTGTTTCTTTTGGCAAAACCATCAAAACCTTAGTTAATAAACACGTCAACTACTCTGACATTCAGTTTTACAAATGGGAAGTCCACAGGAAACCATTTTCCGTTAATGCAGCTGCAGGTGGGAGCAAAGAGGGGAAATTTATGTTATACTGTTCACTAGATGCCAATCTGATTTTGAGCAGAGTGAGAAAGAAGGCAAGAGACAGAAACAGCATGAATGTATGTGTCTGTTTGCCACTGAAATCCTATTGATCAGCGTAGTAAGTTGCAAACAGAGTAGGCTAGCTGAATCAGTGGGCATCTGCTAAGTCAACTCTTCCAAATTTTCCATTGATTGATCCTTTGTGACTTACTATGCTGACCAACATTTTAGCCAATGGCATTTATTGAAAAGTCAGCTCACCAAATCTCCACTGATTTAGTGACCCTACTCTAATGCAACCTACTATGCTACGCAACAGGATTTTGGCCTCTGTACATCCATGTGCACTTGCACAACAGTTCTATGTCTGTGCAGTATTGCTCAATGCATCAGTAATGTGACACATAAACACATCCAGTGCCCAAGAGCCTGATAGCAACACTTTATGAAAGCACAGAAGTTCCTGTATCTGCATGGTTAGAGGAGTGGAGGGGTGGAGGCTGTAAAGTATGTCTGGTGGGTATTCGGAAATTCCAATGGAAGAGAATGAACTTAATCTGATCAGTCATCTATTTAAGAAAATAAATAAATAACTGAACTCTTTGCCTTCAGCAATGAACAGCAGAACAAAGAATGGAACCCATGCCAAAAAATACCTTAGTGGAACAGAGTATCTAGTGAGGTGGGAAATATCAGAATAAAAGAAGCAATAATATAATAAGATTGAAGCTCAAAAACAAGCCTGGGTAATACCTTTGTTGGATTACCAAAATATTAAAAATGTTTTCAAGGCCAGCAAACCCTTCCTTCAGACTGAGTATTCAAAGCTTTAGGGTAGGGTAAGAAACAGGGAAGTAATTAAAAGTATCCCCACCAGGTATTGAAGCATCAATGTCTGGGTTATAGCATTGTCCCAAGAGGGAGACTCCAAGCATGTTGCATGAGTTTGAGGCTTCGGTCAGAATAACACTGATACACTCATAAGGTTTGCATTAACTTGTTGTGGCTAAATGCTACTAATTGAACAAATGCTAGGATGTGTCACTAGGGTTAGTGTATGGTCATATGTCCAACTGCGCAACCAAGATATACTTCCAGTACATCATCAATTAAGACATAATTAAGCAGAATAAACTATGCAAACCCCTATGCACACCAGTAGATCCCAGCCATCAGGTGTCACCTAAATCAATGCAACACAACCTTGATTTTGAATTTTGTACAAGGGCCATATGAGCCCCCCCCCTTACTTAAGACTTAACAATCATATCAGGCAAGTACATTATTTGTAGTATTTTCCTCAGAACTCTGCTCAGGAAATGTTTCTGCAAGTATGGAAGAAGTAGATGCAACCCAATGTCAGCTGGCAGCTAGGATACTTAAAGTAACTGACTGCATCCACTCTAAAATGCTTGAAGTTATTCAGGCATCTGTCATCATGGGCAAACATAAAACAAGCATAGGTTTGGTGTCTCATGACATGACATCAGAAAAAGATATAGAAAACAAACCTTTTGTATATACTTTGTAATATGCATGCAAAGAAGGTACAATGATGATAAAAATACTGTACAATGAACAGTTTTATCATTATCAAACAGAAAAGATTCCCAACAGCATATATTTTCAGGAAACTTATCATTCCAAATTCTCTCAGTATATCTTATACAATAATACACAATCACAATACACAGCACTGAACATCTGATACCTTCAGAATTGCTGACAGCTTCAACACAGTTATACCACGTTTTCTCAACACTATTCAGTCAAAAAAATCACTGTGGCTTTCTCCAGTACTGTACTTCACTATTAACACTCGAATTCCTGCTTATAAGTTACTGAAAGCTTTGTCGCTTTTCCTCACTAAATTCAGAGTTGGACAGCACATGGATAAATTGTTCATGTTCAGATGCTTTGAGAGGAAAGGGGAAAGGACTGCACCCTTGACTTCCTTTAAGTTTGAAACTATTGTTGATGCCCCACCCAATTTTGCCCCCACTGATGAATCTGAGGCTGTGTCACTGATTGACAGATAAGTTAGTGAACAGGTGGATGGATGGATAGCTAGGGAGATATATTTGCCAGCAGTAGCAAATTCTTTTCTTCAAAGATAGTGCATTTAAGCAACACTAAAAAAAGAAGCACATTTGGCTCCCAAAGTCTCAGTTCCCACTCTGAAGAATAAGATGCTACAGAGTTCTGTCATGGGATTTGTATTGTTCAGCACCTTTAAAAATTCCTTCTACATTCTTATGACGAAGATGATGGTGATACAAGTGTTGAAGGTCACTGCGACAGCTCCTTTACCACTGCATGGTAATACAGTACAGTATATCCAATTGTACAACCAAGAAGTACTTCCAGCACACCATCAATTATGCTGAAAATAGCCAGAATAAACTATGCAAACCACGTGCAAACACCTGTAGATCACAGCCACCAGCTGTCATCTTAGGCAATGAATCACAGCCTTGGTTTTGCTTCCTCATACACAGGTGGTGGTGCTTCATCCTATACAGGTAGTGATGTAACATTCTCAGCCTCCTGCTCACACTCTTCCATTAAATGTCCCAACCTACTTAAACTGTTAACAGATCCCTCAAAACCCTGCAGGGACTATGAGTGCAGCTATAGACTTGGCAACTGCAAACACCTCCCCAAACCAAATCAGTAGCTCACTTCTTCTCAGCAATAAGTCCTCCTTCGGTACCATGTCCTTTTCATTCATTTCAAAAACATTCTCATCAAGATTCAGTAGAGCTGAGGAACAAGGTAGACAGGAAGAGCTTAAGTGGAATAATATTTGGAGAGTGGACTTGGAGAGTTTGAAGGGTGCCATCATTTCTTAAAAGCATGTTCTGCTCTTAATCCACCCTAACATGCAGGACATCCAGTAAGTGAATGGGTGTTTACTATAGTCTCAGGCAAATTAGAAGTCAGCAGGCTGCAAAATTCCAGGTAACTGCCAATAAAACATTGCCACCTAGAAATCACAAACATTTCTTCAATGAAGGACAGGATGGGGATAACTTGTTACAATTTTAAAATCAGTAAAGGAATTGTAAGCCATATGAATATATAAAAATGTAATGCTCAGAAGATTTAAAATGAATCCACAGATGTGAAAGGAACCCCCTGATTAGAACTAAAACCGAGAATGATTTAACCTATAGTCTGAATATTAGCTTATTCCCAGTCAAGTTGATACTGTATTGTGCAATTTATCAAAGTAGCACAACAGCTCACTTACAACCCATATCGTTTGCATACAGAGAGATCATACTTCAATCCTTGGCATTTTTATTTTTTTAAGGCTTAGTTACTAATTGATGGGAACAATTTCTTCCCGAGAGTCTGCACAACTTGTGCTAGTCAGAGTAGCCCATACTAGCAAGACGGACAAAAAAAATCTGAGTTGGTACAGTGGACCCTCTACTTAAGGAATTAATCCGTATTGGAACGGTGGCTGCAAGTGTAAGTTGAATCTCCACTGACCTACAATGCACTGGAAACCGATTAACCCCATAACCAGTGGTTTTTATTCTATTTTTATTCCATTTTGGTTTTTTTTTTTTCTGGTCTGTAAGTCAATTCTCTGGCTGCAAGTCGAATCTAAATTTTGCAGTCAGAGAAGTCTGTAACTCGAAAAGTCTGTAAGTCAAGCCGTCTGTAAGTCGAGGGTCCACTGTATAAGGAAGCTACTTAGTTTTTAAATTTACCTCCTGCTGTAATGTCCACAGCTTATGGGCTCTTACATACTGGCCCCACAGTATAATTTACACTAATGCAGAAAAAGCTTAAGTAGTAAGTGTGGAATATTCCCCTTATGAAGAATAAGAATTAGGCATCTTACCATTAAGACATCTAAATTCACAGTCTTGGAAATCAATATGCCACCTCAGCTTAACAAAGCAGCACTGAAGGATATTTAGGCCATTAAGCAGCAATAACATGAAATAAAAAAAGCAATCTCTCACCCCACTGGTATTCCAAATATGCCATCCCATTTTATTTTCCAGGTGTAGTAAAAATAAATAGTCCATAACTGCAACGGTTCTAAGAAAACTAGGTATATGACTGATGAACATGCACATTCCTGAAAGAAAATTGCAGAGTCAAGGAACCTCTCATATACCAGCTCTGCAGAAAAAATAAATATATATATTTTTTCTAAACCAGAGGCTACTGAGCAAAGCTTGGAAAGCACAGATACAGTTCTGACTCCTGTCCTCTGAAGGTGCCGGCCACAGAGACTGGCAAAACGTTAGGAAGAAAAACCTTAAGAACATGGCCAAACAGCCTGGAAAACCCACAACAACCATTGGATCCCGGCCGTGAAAACCTTCGAGAATACCAAGCTTGGAAAGGTTACATTTTCCAAATGCAGCCACCAGAATCCCCTGGACAACATGGTCACTGAGGCCCAAACAATCTTAAAACGAGCTCAGCACACGCAAAAGGGGCTTTGGACTTTTGTTTCCTTAACTGCAGGGCTCCCTTGTGCTACTGGGCAAGCTGTCTTTAAAATCAAAGGGATGCTCAGAAACAGTTTGTGATATGGAGTTAAAAATCCCACTAGGCACACTCAAGCGCTAGGGTATGCTCAAAGTACCTCCCTTAATTCCAGCCCATATGTATGAGGAAAAACAGCCAATTGTTCATGCTTCAAATTAATTTGTTTCAAGCAATCATTTGGATAAAGCAAAGCAGCCTTTTATAATTAAGTGTCATAAAGAGCGTAACACTTTAACTCTTTTAAAATCCAAAGTTAATGAGAGATGCGCTACAGAGTGACAAATAAAGTTCAGAACG